ATACGCGGCCAAGTTTTACCGCAGGAAAGGCGCTCTGGATAAAGCTCTTCAGCTCTTAAAGAGGGCCCTGCGGGCCACGCCCTCCTCCGCTTTCCTGCATCACCAGATGGGGCTTTGTTACAAGGCACGCATGATCCAAATCAAGAGAGCGGCAAACTGGCAGCCCAGAGGACAGGATAGAGACAATGTCGACCAAATGGTAAGGTTAGCCATAGCTCATTTTCAATTTGCTCTGGAACAAAAGCCCACATTTGACGTTGCTTATATACACCTGGCCGGTATGTACATAGAAGCTGGCAACCACAGAAAAGCTGAAGACATTTACCAAAAATTGTTATGTTTGACGTCCCTCGACGAAGAAAAACAGCAAAAGGTACATTTCCACTATGGTCAATTTCAGGAATTTCAAAAGAAATCTGAAGTCAATGCAATTATCCATTATTTAAAAGCACTAAAAACAGAAAAGGTGTCACTGACAAGAGATAAATGTATTAATTCTTTGGAGAAACTGACTTTAAGAAGACTTTCCAGAAATGCATCAGATGTAGAAAGCTTGAGCATTCTTGGGTTTATCTACAAAGTCAAAGGCGAAATGAATAAAGCCCTGGAGTACTATGAGCAGGCCCTGCGGCTGGCTGTGGACTCTGGGAACTCTGGTACCTGATCCTGGGTGTGGAAATATGAACCACATTCACATTTTATTTGATTTTAGGTAAACATGTTAACTCTAACCATTGTTTCTGCTTGCTACTTTCAGAAACATATTAAGCAATCCACTGCAGTGATGCAAGTTTTTAACCATTACCCAAACCTGGTAAAATATTGGTTCTATTCAGAAAATACTGAAACAGAATATATACATCTCTGTTATGTGAGAGAGGAACCATTTCTCTGTGAATGTTATATAGTCGAAAAACCATTTGTCGAGTAGATTCGTAGCAAATAAAGGCCTGGATTTACATAAAACAAAAATGTTTCATTCATTCATTTTATCAACAAATAGTTTTTGGTGTTAGATACCAAATATGGTGATGTAGCGGAGGAAAAAATCTTTTTACGCTACCCATTTTAGGTTCATTGGCCAGGACTCCATAATTAGAATGACAAGCACAGATTAACAAGAGATAAACAAACAGAGATTTATGAATACATGCACCGCACACACACAGGGGAGCACCCAGTGATGAATAACTCAAAAGGGTGGCTAGAACATAGCATCCTGGCAAACGAACAATGCATTTTTAGAGAAGGGATAAGAAATTTTAGAGAAGGGAAAAGAACCTTGAGTTTCTAGGGTGACAAACTGTAGGAATGTAAATATTTGGGGGAGATTAATGGAAAACAAGGGCTAGTTGAGAAGGTTTGTTATGGGGGCCTGGGTGGCTCAGTTAGTTGAGCGTCCAACTTCGGCTCAGGTCATGATCTCACAGTTGGTGAGTTCGAGCACTGCATCAGGCTCTGTGCTGACAGCTCAGAGCCCCAAGCCTGCTTCGGATTCTGTGTCTCCCTCTCTCTCTGTCCCTCACCTGCTCACTCTCTCCCTCTCTCAAAAATAAATAAAGATTTTTAAAAATTAGGAAAAAAAAAAAAAAAAGAAGAAGGTTTGTTATGTAGATTCCTCCAGCAGTGACTCTGGGCTGATAAGGGTCTACACTTGTCTCAGGCAATCAACTTCTCACCTTCCTGGTGGAGAGGGTAAGGGGACACCGCTACAAAGTTCTGTACTGCTTGTAGGCAGGTAGGGAGTGTGCAGAGCATTTCTTGTACCCTGCTTCTTCTCAACTGCCCTCAGTTCAAAATAATCCCTACACCAACATGGCATATTTTGGGGCGGCATACTCTGCTCCCCTTCAGCAAAGAAAGCAGACATCTCCCCAAACCTCCTGAAGTTTACGATCTAGTGAGTAACAAGTACACAGTCAATTACTCGTTTGCTGTTTGCTGTTTATTGTTCCAAAGCAGTTTCTCTTCTTTCATGCCACATGTAGCACTGTTTATTCAGTCATTTTCTGGTATTGATTGATCAAAAACACAGGGAAAGGATGCTAAATGATCTGAGAGACCATCAGTAACAACCACCTTTGTGACATTTTATTAAAAGGGGTTGCACACCAAGCAATATTTTTAAAAGGAAGAAATAAGGAAACAATGTGTCTTTTCTCATCCAATAGTTTTAAAAGGAAGAGATAAGGAAACAGTGTGACTGCTTTTTTCATCCATGTATTTTTTTAGGGGGAGGATATATTAATTTCCCACTGTGGCTGTTAACAAATTACCACAAACTTAGTGGCTTAAAACCGCAAAAACTTATGATCTTACAGTTCTGAAGGTCAGAAATCTGAAATGGGTGTCACTGGATGGAAATCCAGTGGCAACGGCCACAGAGGTATTGGCAACTGCCTCCAGAGGTCCTAGGAGACAATTCTTTTTTGTACCTTTTCCAACTACTAGAGGCTGCCTGCATTTCTTGGGGGGGATCCATAATCCACAAGAACACAAATCCTCAAGGAATTCATACACAGATTGCGAAAGCCTTTTGATTTCTACTAAAATTCGTTAGGAATCGAAGGGAGCAAACTTCATCATTGAAGGCTAGACATCAGAGCCACACAGATCCGATCTTCTCAACATACTTGTAACTAAAACAAAAGACTTGTTAGATTTAACAAAAATGGTATCTTACAGTGCTTGAGTTTGGGGAGGAGGCCCAAAGTGACACTTTGGCACTAAAGTGAGTCTAACCACTGGGAACTCTTCCAGAGAGAGAAACATGAAAGGTAAATACTGGTCGGATGACTGGTTAATCTACTAGGCAGCTCTTCCCAGGTATTGCTATACATCACTTGCAGCCGGAAAGCAGAGCTCATTCATGCAACATAAATCTCTGGATTATGGATGTGTTTGTGTGAGGGGTGCCTGACGACCCAGAGGTCACAGTCATCAGAGTGTCTTATAATCTAACACCATCTCTCTATCCCCTCGCATCCCCTCCTCTGGAAGAGGTGTCTGCACGCTGGGGGCTCGGAAGCTCTAATGTGTGGAACAGCCTGGACGCTTGCAGGGCAAAACAGCAAGCAGCAAATCCAGAAAAACTGACTTACATGTATTTCTTAAAAGCATTACTTAATTTTCGGTTTCCCAAGAAGATTTTAGATCAATTGCCATGTTTCACTTTCTGTTTCCCTTTGTTGCTAGTTGCTGCGTCCTGCATGTTGACTAGAGTACGTTCAAAAGACAACACACTACTGGTTTTACCAAGAATCCACCCAATCCAACAGTCTGTGAAAAAAGATCAATATTCAAATTCCATCTAGTAATTCTGGCACATTCAACACCCACTCAACAGCCAGACGTTTGTTTCTTCTCAATCCTGAAAATGTATATTCCTTTAAATTTTTCACAGATGGTTTTTGCCTTTCTGAATTTGAATTCCTAAACAATATAAGTAGATAGGCAGGATTTCCTTTCCCTTTAATGTTCACTTCTGTTTGCTTAGTTGCTATCGGTCTAAACCTTAATAAGCAAAGACGACCTTTTGGCCTGGATACGGATAAGAGAAAGGAAGGGAGAGAAGCAGGAACAAGGAAGGAAACATAATCCACGCACTGAAAATTTTTTCAAACACTGGAGCGCCATTAAATTTTTCTACATCCTTGGTGAGGAGGGTATTCTGGCTTTATTCTTCCACCCACAGCAAACTGTTCGGTACCTTTTCTAAAATGCAGCTTCCTTGAGGTACCTGGGTGGCTCAGTCAGTTGACTGTCACTCTGTCTCGGCTCAGGTCATGATCTCACTGATCGTGGGATCGAACCCCACTTGGGATTCTCTGTCTGCCTCTCTCACTCTTTCTCTCAAAATAAATAAACATTTTTAAAAAACAAAATAAGGGATGCCTGGGTGGCTCGGTTAAGTGTCAGACTCTTGATTTCGGTTCAGGTCATGATCTCAGGGTTCGTGAGATCAAGCTCCACATCACTCTCCGTGTTGACAGCACAGAGCCTGCTTGAGATTCTCTTTCTCACTCTGTCCCTCCCCTGCTCGCTCTCACTCTCTCTCTCAAAAATACATACATACATACACACATACATCCATAATAAATAAAATTAAAAAAAATAAAATGCAGCTTCCTGCCTAAGTTAAACATTACAGTAGCCTTCAGGCCCATGCCATTCTTCCTCTGATCTCATTTCTTAAGACCTCCCCCCTACCCTTACTGCTCCAGCCACACCATCCATTCATGGCAAATATGTTCCCACCTCCCTGGGGTTTGTACCTACTGCTTCCCCTGCCTGAACCATTCTTCCCTGGCCCCATAACCACTCTCTCCTTCACCTGCTTCAGATCTTTACTCAAATGTCACTAACCCAGTGAAATCTTTCTTCCCCACCATATTTATAACGGTGAAACGCCCTGCACTGTAACCCTCTCCATGCTTTTTCTCCATAGCACCATCTCACACACAATACTTCATTTGTTCTTTATTATCTTTATCTCCCACACTAGGAATGAAGTACGCGAAGGTAGATCCTTTGTCTGTTTTTTTCATTGCTGCATTGCCTGTGTCTTGGACAACATCTGCCTCTTAGCAGTTGTTCAATGCAGTTCACTGAATCCACGAAAGAATGACTGAAGTCACAGGGGGACAAAAATTTTAGTGTGTGGGTATTTGGCATTTTCGGCTCAGATTCCCGATACCACCCTGATCTTTATTAGAAGTTGTTAGGCGAAGCACGATTGGCAAGGGCACAGAAGGCAAGCACTGTCCTACAACTCCAGGGAGGGGTGTATAAATCTCTCCACAAAGTTATTAAGCAATAGCTATCAAATTTTAAAATGTGTATGCATTTTGACTCCCAAGTTTCTCTAACTTTACCCAATGGGTAGTGCACCTGTGTTGTTTGTTGAATCAAGACTTGAAGCAGAGTCTTCTTTCCGCTTAGGATGCAGAAAGACGAAAAGAGCAGCGCTGCTACCCTTGCAACAGAAATAACGCGGACCGATCTCCTGTCACTTTATTTAAAAAGGGGGGGGGGAGGGGACACGAGGACTCGGCAAGGCAGGCGAGAGCCCAGACCAAAGCCAGAGGCCCCGCTGCAAATACCACACCGAACCGCCCGGAGCCTCGCAAACCTCTCCCCGGCCCCACTCAGCTCTTGCAGAAGTTTCCGTTTCTTGGAGCTGGACTCCGCCGGGTCGGGAAGCTGAGACACCATCTACGTTCCATTTCCCGTTCGGATGCCGCCTTTACAAAATCCAACTCTTAGCCTCAGAGAGCGCGCAGCTGACGCCCGGAGGGAAGCGCACTCCCGCGCCGCCGGCACTTCCGCGCTCCCGTCCGCGCGCACTCCGCGCCCTCCCGCCTTGCACGCGCACACGCACCCGCGCACTCCGCGCTCCCCAGTCCGCACGCCCGCGCGCCCGCGCCCCCGCGCACTC